AGAGAGAGAGAGAGAGACGAGCCGGCCAGATTAATTTTGTATTCTCCCCAAGTGACTCAGACCCTGAATGGATCTACGACAAAATACTTCTCAAGGCTAATGATCACTAAAAGCCGATCACTTTACAGAGACGAGACTCAAACAAGGAGGAAGAGACAGACCAGGAAGCTAAAATATAAAATGATTACGGCCGAGAGAAAGAGATACTTTTTATGTGGGACTTATTGCTAAATAGTCGGGCCACTGACACATTAGGAACTACTTGACACAAAATTCCCGAGAAGCAGCTGAGAGCTGTATTCCGGCTCAGACAGAAACAGATGAAAATAGACAAACAGGCTGTGATTTAATCATAGCTGAGCAGAAGCAAAATCTAGAAGCAAATGAGTATGGAAAAACAAAGTACATTGCTCACAGGACCACAACAAATATGTAACATGGTAGAAGAGTTAGGAACGAGTATGTCAACTTAGCAAGAGTTAGGAACGAGTATGTCAACTTAGCAAGAGTTAGGAACGAGTATGTCAACTTAGCAAGAGTTACGAACGAGTATGTCAACTTAGCAAGAGTTAGGAACGAGTATGTCAACTTAGCAAGAGTTAGGAACGGTATGTCAACTTAGCAAGAGTTAGGAACGAGTATGTCAACTTAGCAAGAGTTAGGAACGAGTATGTCAACTCAGCAAGAGTTAGGAACGAGTATGTCAACTTAGCAAGAGTTAGGAACGAGTATGTCAACTTAACAAGAGTTAGGAACGAGTATGTCAACTTAGCAAGAGTTAGGAACGAGTATGTCAACTTAGCAAGAGTTAGGAACGAGTATGTCAACTTAGCAAGAGTTAGGAACGAGTATGTCAACTTAGCAAGAGTTAGGCACGAGTATGTCAACTTAGCAAGAGTTAGGAACGAGTATGTCAACTTAGGCAAGAGTTAGGAACGAGTATGTCAACTTAGCAAGAGTTAGGAACGAGTATGTCAACTTAGCAAGAGTTAGGAACGAGTATTTTCAACTTAGCAAGAGTTAGAACGAGTATGTCAACTTAGCAAGAGTTAGGAACGAGTATGTCAACTTATCAAGAGTTAGGAACGAGTATGTCAACTTAGCAAGAGTTAGGAACGAGTAAAGTCAACTTAGCAAGAGTTAGGAACGAGTATGTCAACTTAGCAAGAGTTAGGAACGATATGTCAACTTAGGCAAGAGTTAGGAACGGTATGTCAACTTAGCAAGAGTTAGGAACGAGTATGTCAACTTAGCAAGAGTTAGGAACGAGTATGTCAACTTAGCAAGAGTTAGGAACGAGTATGTCAACTTAGCAAGAGTTAGGAACGAGTATGTCAACTTAGCAAGAGTTAGGAACGAGTATGTCAACTTATCAAGAGTTAGGAACGAGTATGTCAACTTAGCAAGAGTTAGGAACGAGTATGTCAACTTAGCAAGAGTTAGGAACGAGTATGTCAACTTAGCAAGAGTTAGGAACGAGTATGTCAACTTAGCAAGAGTTAGGAACGGTATGTCAACTTAGCAAGAGTTAGGAACGAGTATGTCAACTTAGCAAGAGTTAGGAACGGTATGTCAACCTAGCAAGAGTTAGGAACGAGTATGTCAACTTAGCAAGAGTTAGGAACGAGTATGTCAACTTAGCAAGAGTTAGGAACGGTATGTCAACTTAGCAAGAGTTAGGAACGGTATGTCAACTCAGCAAGAGTTAGGAACGAGTATGTCAACTCAGCAAGAGTTAAGAACGGTATGTCAACTCAGCAAGAGTTAAGAACGGTATGTCAACTTAGCAAGATTTAGGAACGGTATGTCAACTCAGCAAGAGTTAGGAACGAGTATGTCAACTCAGCAAGAGTTAGGAACGAGTATGTCAACTTAGCAAGAGTTAAGAACGGTATGTCAACTCAGTAAGAGTTAGGAACGGTATGTCAACTCAGCAAGAGTTAAGAACGGTATGTCAACTTAGCAAGAGTTAAGAACGGTATGTCAACTCAGTAAGAGTTAGGAACGATTATGTCAACTCAGCAAGAGTTAGGAACGATTATGTCAACTTAGCAAGAGTTAGGAACGAGTATGTCAACTCAGTAAGACTTAAGAATGAGTATTTCAACTCAGTAAGAGTTAGGAACGATTATGTCAACTCAGCAGCCATAAATAAGACTAATGTTCAACTTCACCAGGAGAAAAACAGGAGTAAACGATCAGGTGGTAAGACTTAAGAGGGATGAGGTTATACTCATGAGAAAATAATGAAGAGGAAATGTGAAGAATTAAACAGAGCACAGATAACCGGCACATAAGAAAATGAAACTTATGACGGCGTTTCGGTCCAATTAGGACCATTAACTAGTAACAAAGAAGTTCGAAGAGAAGGGAGCCAGTATATATACGAGAAAGAAGGGTCGGGGTCGGGAGAACGAGAGGAGGGAGTAGTAGAATGTTAGAAACAGTGGTAGATTTAGTGCTGGCTATATGTGTATTGTTCCAGTCACGGCACTGCGCCTGTGCTGGAGAACAGGAGATCAGTGTTAAAGTTGTGTTGGGAACATAGCAATAACATGGGGAGAATTACGGATGCATGAGAGAGCTTGACACATCAAATGGTGTCACTCAACAAGATAGATATCATCAGCATTATTATTATTTTTATATTATTATTATTATTATTATTATTATTATTATTATTATTATTATTATTATTATTATTATTATAAATAGCGAAGCAGTAAAAATGTAGTTGTCATTCTGTGCATGGGGAATGGGAAGTAACCAGTTTTGATTCAGATATGAAGAGGATCGATCCAGTTCCTAAAATCAAGAACTATTTCCAGACCCTCCAATACCCTTTTCCAGTATAGTATCCCTGGCAAGAATGCGTTCTAAGGGATGGAGAATATCACAGGGAGGCGATTGGCTTAACATCTGTAGTGACGAGAGATTACCCGGTATACCAGCTTTGCATATTAAAGGACTTTCTGCATGCACACCTAAATGTCATTCACCCTTGTATAAACATTGTATCATGCTTAAATAAAGAATCTTTAACCTTAAAATTTAGAGTTGACAAATATACTGCCTCACTGACAACCAAGCAGAAATCAGGTAGTCTTCTGAGACGGCCAAAAGGTGCTCAACACTCTGCCTCAAGAAATTTATACATGAATTAAAGGCACAAAGAAAAGTAATGGTTCAAGTGCCTGAAAGGCAGAAAACAGTCATGGGGATATGTGAAGCACTGGGCTGCACAAAATTGAAAGGATGAGTTCCCAAGGATCAGTCCTGGGATCACTACTATTTCGTATAAATGTAAATGATCTGTTTAAGTGAATGATCTCTAACACACAAGTGATGCAAAGGTTATGAGGCTAGCAAAAGAAAGGGCAGGAAGCTTCGAACGGATTGTAAGAATGGTCCAACAAGTGCTTACTCAATGCAGCAGTGTAGTAAAGATGGAAGGAGAGGAGAACCAGGTGAACAACTGCGTGTGGAAGAAATACAGAGTTCATAGAGCCACGTCAAACGAAGCAGGAAAGCCATGAACTAATATATGAGGATAAGAAAGGTAGCTGGAAAAGCATTACAAAAATTATAAAATATTTAAAAAACAAATTACAGTTACTTCTCAGCCACGTAAGACTACGACTGTTGAAGGTGCAAATGAGAGTGAACAAGAAGGGAGGGGTGCTAACGGAGGATGACAGAGAAGCAATGAGGTTAACAGAATATTCAAGGTCTTCACAGAAGAAAACGAGAAGTCTCCTGAAGACAGGGAAGTCAGGAAAGACTAACAGGAGTTTAAACAAATCCTCGCAACAAAGGAAGAGGCCACGAACCAGCAAAGAAGAGTGTCATAACGAAAACACTGAAATCCGACCATTTATTTCCACAATTCCTGAGAAAACGACCAGAATCAAAGAGCGACATATTAGCACGAGGGACTGAGTCTTATGTGTCTGTGTTACTGACAACATAACACTAATAGGAAGGCTAGAAACAAGAAGCGACAGAAATAGACTCCAGGAAAACATGGATAGGTTGCCGAGGACGTAAAAAAAAAAAGTGGCTGCTAGATTTAAATCCAAATAAGTGGAAGATCATGCGAATCAAAAACAATGACTGTAGACTCGACACAAAGTATAATACAACAGGTAAAAAGCTGCGAAAAGCAGTGAACGAAGAGTATCTGGGTTTAATATCATGACAAACATACCAACGAAGATACACATACACTGTGTAACTTCAACTTCAGTGACATATCAAAGGCAACCAGATCACAGAACACCATTCATCGACTTGATAAAAAAAACTTTATTAATTTTAACACCACATACGAGTATGTTGGTCATGATATATATATATATGGACTGACATGGCCTTGCTTCACAGAGAATTTTATTCCTACTGTTGCTAGCTCCTGACGACGCTCGAGAGGGCGAAACATCTTGAGCACACACAGATACACACACACACAAACACACACACACACACACACACACACACACACACACACACACACACACATACACACACAACACACACACACACACACACACACACACACACACACACCTAGCTAAGAATCGACCCCTGCAACCACAAATAGGTGAGTACACACACACACACATACACACACACACACACACACACACACACACACACACACACACACACACACACACACACACACACACACACACACACACACACACATATATATATATATATATATATATATATATATATATATATATATATATATATACAGGGCCAGGAGCTGAGTCTCGACCCCAGCAACCACAATTAGGTGAGTACAGAGGGCATGATAAGGCTCACGGAGCAGGGAAAGTGACCTAATAGCGACCAGTAAAGAGGCGGGGCCAGGAGCTATGAATCGACCCCTGCAACCATAACTACGTGAGTACACGAACAGTGTGTTTGTTTGGTTTACAAAAGATTGAAACAAAAAAAATATATTCTGGGATAAACCAGTGAAAATGCCTCCTTTGTTGTTAATAGAAAACCTTTATTCAAGTCACAAATTCTGAACTTTAAAACTTGGTTTAGTCCTGATCTTTGATTCTAAATCATAAGTGACGTCAGTGGCGGATAATAAACACATTTCAATAATCAATACAGCGCAGCACATGTATAGTTGACGCAGAACAAACTTCATTACAACTGTCACATCAGATGTCATCCTCAGCACTGTACTCTTTATATGTGGAGGAAATGTCGCGCTGTCAACAAGTATGAAAATATGACACGGTCTTTCATCCTGTCAACGTTTCGCTCTGTGTGAGTCATCATCAAGCTTTGACTTAATAAAGGTCTACGGAGAGTGAAACGTTGTTCGGATAAACCCTTGTTTTACAACCTGTCTTTTTGCTTTTATATCATGCAGATGAAGACAGCAATATCAAAACATATATAAATAAAAAAAAAAAACCCTTCGCTGTGTGAATGGACTATGTAAGGCTAAATTCCTCTGTTGGATCGAGATGATTGAAACGCAACCACAAACATGAACCATTCGCAAACTAGAATCGTTTTCTTGTTTATTTTCGGTCGTCATCAACGTCCAAGTGGTCGCTCTCAATGGCCAAGTAAGGAGAGGCGACCACGTCGTCCTCGTCACTCAGTCTTGCATAGGCAGTGGCTACAAGTGAGTCGCTATCATCGCTGTCGTCGTCTTCGGCGTCCGTCTTGATGAATGTAGGTGTGAGTATGGAAGCTCTCTGGTACACAGAGCTGGAGGCCACTGGGGCGGAGTACTGGGTGGCAGGAATGACGTTACTGACAGCTGGTATGGCGTAATGGGCGGCAGGAACAGCATACTGGGTGGCAGGGACGGCGTACTGGGTGGCAGGGATGATGTTCGAAGAGGCAGGGACGGAATAATGCAAGGGAGTGGCTACACTTCTGACCACTGGAACAGCAGCATACTGATGCGTGTAGGTGAGACCAGTAGCCAGGGGCTGTACAATGGAAGAAGAGGTGAGCAGGGGAAGATGGTATGGGTACATGACCTTGGTGTCGGCAGCAGCCACACCCACCACCACGAGCAGTACAACCTGAAGACACGGAACAAACTGTTAGTTTCTTAGTAACGCCACATTTCATCTATATACAAAAACCAAGACCGCTTTTCCATCGAAGATATTTACACTAGCAACCATATGTTCTATAAAATATCTTAAATAAATTATATAATTGTAAATCAGAAAAAATAGCAATGAAACAGGTTATATACACCAAGAATTGTGTATATCTCTGTGTATATACACTGACAGTTTGTATTAATCCCTATCTTAAGTAAGTAAGTGCTATTGATTGTTAATGCGCAGGTAATATTAAGCCTTAATGACCCTCGTGCAGACGATACATTTTTAATCTCTAAGTTAATTATAAAAAAAATAACTATAAAACATACTGTAAAATAATTAAACTAAAAAAAAAAAACGATATTTTGTAAAACATTTAATCGAGAAACATTTCTGGAGTAAAACATCAAAGTCTGAAAATATTTCAGAGATGTAGCAATACTGCAAGATAATGTATATCCAACATTAGGCAATGTCAATGATCAATCTTGACTATCATGCAAATCATACTGCAACATTTTCTTCAAAGATATTCGTATACATCCCAAGGTGATGCCTTAAACTACTCAGCTACAGATGCCTCACAACGTTAGGTAGCCTGGTTACAAGCCAAGTTCATTCCTAACTCCGGGCACACCAGTGACCCTCAGTCACAATGAAATAATTCGTATACATATTGTATAAATGTATATTTCCTTCTTCCCTTTATTTCTACCTGTATCTGCGCTCATTTCTCTCCACCTACAGTTATCATCTACTGTTTACCTTCCTTGACCACCACCTAGGTCTTCACTCTTCTGAGTCATCTGCCATTACTGATCACCTTATGCAAAGCTTTAAGAATAGGTATGACAGGGCTCACAATGCCAGTTACAATGTAGTTCAAGGAGCTGAGAATCGACCCCTCAACTAGATTAGTGTAAATAGGTAAGCACGAGCACACAAATTTAAGTATAAACAAGTGATTACATAAACACACACCTTAATTATATATATATATATATATATATATATATATATATATATATATATATATATATATATATATATATATATATATATATATATATATATATATGCAATAAAATCACAGTAAACAGGTGATTTCAGAATATGCAAAACAACCACTCTGAAAGAGTAGAGAAATTCCAAGCGCTTTCGTGACTACTCACATTATCATAGCTCCTTGATAATGTGAGTAGTCACGAAAGAGCTTGGAATTTCTCTACTCTTTCAGAGTGGTTGTTCTGCATATACTGTATATATATATATATATATATATATATATATATATATATATATATATATATATATATATATATATATATATATATATATATATATATATATATATATATATATATATATATATATATATATATATATATATATATATATATATATATATATATATATATATATATATATATATATAATGATATTCAAACAGTTCAGGGAGAAATTTCAAACTTTTTTCCTCAAAGTTATATTATTTACTTGGTTGCTAGAGGAAAATCCAATCTATATATGATAGTTTAAATGCTGTAGACGGGACACTGCAACTTGCTCTTAGAGTTAAAAAAAATGTAATCAAATTGGCTATCTAATACATATGGACACACTCACCGCGACCTTCATCCTGGACTCTTCAAAGACAGACGAAGTATAAAATTCGACCAACGTCCCTTATATATATCGCCTTCCATCCCCCCATCCTTTTGCTAAACCTCTTCCCCCATCTCCCCCTCTTCCTAGACTACTTCCTCCCCTTGGCAGATACTCTCTTTCCTCCCCCTCCATCCCCATCCCTGCTACCTCATCTTCATCCCCTCTTCACCCCCACCCACTACAATCACCCCCTCATTCAGTAGACTCAATCCTCCTGGCCAACCCAGAATCATGCTTTCAACCGCTGGCTTGACCACCACGCTACCCAAAACTAGTTTTTATGCAGCATTCATTCTAGAGCTCTACTTGAGTCGTGATGCATTGCTATCCTTAACTAGGGGGAATAGTGGGACTATACATTGTGGATTCAAATGACGTACTGCCGACACGACTGATGAGAAGATACACTCTACAGAAAAAAAAGAACTTAATGAAACAACAACGAAACTCTACACAGAGCGAAACGTCGTCCCAGCAAAATCTTCTGCAACCTGTGTCATATTTTACCATGAAACCCCTCAGCTGGGAAAACAACCAACAGCAGGAGACTTATAATAGAAAACAAGACAAGAGTTATTATATAATGTTGTAGAAGAGGCACAGCCTAAGCTGAGAGACTTCAGCGGGACAACGAGGATATCAAGTATTTCAGTAAAGGTTCATCAGCTATGGAACCCTTAAAGACTTCGTTCCAGCAGAGCTGGAGCCATCGCTCCTGGTACCTCCACGGAGGGAAAGAGACAGGCTGATGAATCAGCAAGGACAGACCTAGTGGGTTTCATTCACTATTTTCTCCCTAGTGTGTTATCCCTAACTCACTCCTCTCACACTGCCTCCACCAGTGTGTTCCTCTGACTACCCTTACACTGCCTCCACCAGTGTGTTCTTCTGACTACCCTTACACTGCCTCCACCAGTGTGTTCCTCTGACTACCCTTACACTGCCTCCACCAGTGTGTTCTTCTGACTACCCTTACACTGCCTCCACCAGTGTGTTCCTCTGACTACCCTTACACTGCCTCCACCAGTGTTGCTCTTTAGTACCCTTCACACTGCCTCCACCAGTGTTCCTCTGACTACCCTTACACTGCCTCCACCAGTGTTGTTCTTTAGTACCCTTCACACTGCCTCCATCAGAGTGTTCCACTTACTTCTCTCACTACTCCATCACTGTGTTTAATCGTTACCTTAATCTTAAAAGGTTTCCTTTTTTTTTTTGTTTCTTTGGTTCATTCGTGTGTTCAATAACTATGTGTGATCCTTCAGTCTTGATCCACCTCGCCATTCCTAGAATTAATTTGTTTATTCCTCTAAGTAGCTTGTCCATTCTTTTAAGTAGCTTGTCCATTCTTTTAAGTAGCTTGTCCATTCTTTTAAGTAGCTTGTCCATTCTTTTAAGTAGCTTATCCATTCTTTTAAGTAGCTTATCCATTCTTTTAAGTAGCTTGTTCGTTCCTCTAAGTAGCTTGTTCATTCTTCTAAATTTATTTTCTCCATACCGCTGAGTGTTTTGTATGTAATTTATGCACACGCAATTGTGCATGTATATATCATGCATTTTAGTTTCAATGAAGGACAAAATGATATGAAGAATCACATGTGTAAAGGCACTATATATGTAAGTCATTGATTCTTCATTCTCTTGTCAGGTTTGTTGCTAAGCGGTACTGAAACCCAGTCAAGGAGAGACATTTGATCCGCGAAGAATTTAATCATATCCTGGCGAACCTAGGCTAATATTTCCACACACACACACACACACACAAACCTAAGAACAGCATTCCGACATCTTAATAAGGAATCTTTCAAGACCCTGTACACCGTGTACGTTAGGCCCATATTGGAGTATGCAGCGCCAGTTTGGAACCCTCACCTAGCCAAGCACGTAAGGAAACTAGAGAAAGTGCAAAGGTTTGTAACGAGACTAGCCCCGGAGCTAAGGGATATATCCTACGAGGAGAGGCTAAGGGAGATCGATCTGACGACACTGGAAGACAGAAGAGATAGGGGGGATATGATAACGACATATAAAATACTGAGAGGAATCGACAAGGTGGACAGAGACAGGATGTTTCAGAGATGGGACACAGCAACCAGGGGTCACAGTTGGAAGTTGAAGACTCAGATGAACCACAGGGATGTTAGGAAGTATTTCTTCAGTCACAGAGTTGTCAGGAAGTGGAATAGTTTGGGTAGCGATGTAGTGGAGGCAGGATCCATACATAGCTTTAAGACGAGGTATAATGAAGCTCACGGAACGGGAAGAGTGACCTAGTAGCGGCCAGTGAAGAGGCGGGGCCAGGAGCTGTGAATCGAACCCTGCAACCACAACTAGGTGAGTACACACACACACACACACACCACTCCTCTTCCCTGACCAGCAAAAAAAAAAAAAAAAATGGAAGACGCTCCCTAAGTAGAGGGGAAATACCCTAGTCTGGTATCCTCGGTCCTCCTCTTGAGTTTCCAAGGTCGCGTCAGGCCGCAAGGGAAGACCTTGAGAAGTGCCACCAGTGATACTCAGATACCAGTAAAATATTCACAACAAATCGTATATTGCATATCTTTTCTGTCCTCTAAGTGATTCTGTTAATTGGGTTACAATTTATCCAGAGTGCATATATTCTTAGTCTCATATTTACGTTTGAAATCTCATGTCAAGACTTTCGAAATACTACACTAAACGCTGGTTCATATACTTTGTGTGTTCAAGAACAAAGGATCACTGTGTACTGATAGTACATTGCTCCTGCGTGTGGTGTTCCTGTAGTGTGCCTATGTTTGTACTTAGGTATATCATCATGTCTTGTAACGAAGAATTAAACATTTTGCAACATTTGGAGATCTTTATTTCGGAATTTCTCCACAAAGAAGATTCCCAAGTGTTGCAAAAGTCTAATTCTTCAACTTGCCGGTTCTCTACACCATATACATCACGTCATGTAGCGTCGTGATAACAAATGAAATGAACGAAGGTGGAGGAGACGAGTGTTGTGGAGACGAGTGTTGTGGAGATGGGTGTGGTCGGCCTCGCCCTACACCTGTTACCAACATTCACATCCCTGCTTGACCAGCTCATGACTGCTCGCTAGGGAAGGTTCACGCTTTGTCTTTGTCCCTCACAACAGCCATTTATATTCATTTATTCTTGCTTAACTCTTCCTTTGTTTCTTTCCAGTTTCCACAGTATCTTATTCGTCTGTCTTGTTATTTTTCCTTTATGCCATGCTCTCGTTTGTATTTATGACTAACATCATATTTAACTTACCTACCTGTATAAATCTATCTACATTTATCTTTAATTTGAAGTGGCTCGTACATATCATAGGTCATTTTGATGTCCCTTACGTGGTCGTCATCTCAAGAAAAACATTTTGATGTCCCTTACGTGGTCATCATCTCAAGAAAAACACAGTACATGAGTGAAGAGACACAGGCAAGTACTTTCATGATTTACAAAAGTAAAAATATCTGAACACAATAATTCTAAAAATTCTTGAAAAGAGGTTTATCGAACTATTTTTAAGATACTCAGGAAGACTGTGGGCAAAGAGATTACTCTCTCTCTCTCTCTCTCTCTCTCTCTCTCTCACACACACACACACACACACACACACACACACACACACACACACACACACACACACACACAGTAGACCTAGTAGCAGCCAGTGAAGAGCTATGACTCGACTCCTGCAACCTCAGTTGAGTACAATTAGGTGATCACACCCACACTGACTGGCCAGGAGCTATAACTCGACCCATACAACCACAATTAGGTGAGTACACCCACCCACACACAGTATTATGAAAGAAAAATAAATAAAAATTCTGAAAAGTTGAAAGTGATAAAAATGTTTATTGCTGCCGTGAACAACTTTACAGAATGGAAAGGATTGGACAATAACTTTTTTATAGACTATATAAATACTAATGACACCCAGGATATATAAACCGGGAAGTGCATGTCTCTGTATATATACTGAGAGTTTAGTTACTCAAGAGTCCCACTAATATGTACTACAGTATAGTGGCCTGGTGGCTTAAGGTCTCACTTTACATGGCGAGAGTCTGGGTTCGATTCCCAGCCAGGGTAGAAACATTGGGCGTGTTTCTTTACACCTGTTGTCTATGTTCACCCATCACTAAATGGGTAGCTGGGTGTTAGTCGACTGGTGTGGGTCACACTCTGGGACAAGGACCCAATATGCCCGAAATGCTCAACATAACAAGCGGCTTTCTATATAGTAGTATGTCACTTATGTCAGCTAGACCTGTATACCTTGTACATGTACTTGTAGAAATAGATATTATTATAAGAGTTCCAATAGGATGCACCACACAATAATCGCTGAACGTTCTTTGCTTCAAGATTTAAGTAAGCTCCAGGAACTTCAGCCATAGTTATTATAGTATATGTAACTTTTTCTTTTTAACGAAGTATATATTGTATACACCCTGAGAGTTATTTTATACCGTATATAACGGATTAAAAAATTTCTTGACCTGAAGTGTCCAGGAGATGAGGAACGTTAATGACCCTCGTGTAGTCTCAAGGATTTAACACGTAGGGTGCGAGGTTGTGCATACACAGAGATGTGTAAGTTTAATTAGGTACAGGTACACAAAAATACAGTTAATCTTTAAAGCCTGGGAGCTTGAAAGATAACCTGGAGGCTTGAAAAAGAACCTGGAGGCTTGAAAAAGAACCTGGAGGCTTGGAAAAGAACCTGGAGGCTTGAAAAAGAACCTGGAGGCTTGAAAAAGAACCTGGAGGCTTGAAAAAGAACCTGGAGGCTTGAAAAAGGACCTGCAGCTTGAAGGACTCTAGGATAACCCGAAAAAGTCAGTGACTTATTTTTCCATCATTATTATTATTATTATTATTATTATTATTATTATTATTATTATTGTTGTTGTTGTTGTTGTTGCTGTTGTGTCTCAGTGTATACAGACCGACTCTTTACTTGGGATTAAAGTAGTTTTGACTGTTGATGAACAGGTGACGAGCAGCCTTCATGATCCTCGTGTAGTCCACAAGATTTTAAACCTAATAACCCAATCATCATACATTTTATTAGGCCAATTCAAACAG